TTTGCAAGCATGGCTCAGTGTATTCCATCGCCATGTGAACACACGGAAGCATTTGCAACCAGCGGAAGCATAACGCTGTTTAGACATAAAACGATGTACCAAGGACACCTTTGGAGTCTTACGGTGGCGGAGTCGAAGAGCTGGGCTGGGCGGTGGGGTTGAAGCAGGCGGTGGTGGATTCATGGCAGCGAGTGGACAACTCATCGTCACCCAGGGTGAAGACGGTCAGGGATACCACCAATTCGCCATGGTATCAACGCATCCTGAATGAGCATGTTCCGCATCGGAGGGATTGCCGTGAATGTCTCCGAGGGGCAGGAAGAGACCGTCCACGTCTTCGGCAGCAGTTTCCTGGTGCTTTTACAATGGCGGTGGACGTGGCTGGGCCCTTCGCTCCAGGATGTGACCAGGACATGGGACAACCAAGATATTTCTTGGTGACCACAGTGACGGTACCAGTCCGATGACTCAGTGGAGGATGTGGAGGAGGGTGCCGAGCACACATTCCAGGATAGGCAGGAGATACTGCTGGAAAGTCAAGAACCGAATCCGTTCAAAGAAGCTGGTGATGATCGAGGCAGTGGTGCAAGAAGCTGAAGTGAAGCTGGCATCGTCCGAGCAGCACATCGCCGAGCTCAAGGATGTGGGTGTGAAACACCTAACTCTGGCAGCACCTCTGTTGAATCGCAAGGAGGCGACGGTGATTGCAGCTGCATCAAAACTGTTCGCAAGATACCGTACTCTGCAGGTACCAATACTCCGCATCAAAACCGATCGAGCAAAAGAATTTGTCTTTGAAGCGATTCAGGGAGTGGACAACAGCAAGAGATCTGGAGCATTGCTTCACCGCTGGAGACGAACCCACCGGCAGAGATTGAGGTGGTCGAGTGCTGAAGAATGCAACACGGGTTCTCCTACAATCTGCTGGATTGCCCATCCGGGATTGGCCTACAGCACTTAGGCATGCGGCAGAAGAACGACACCGTGGACAGCTACGTACCTTTGGATTGGACCTGCCGCGGTTGATTCCATATGGCTGCAAAGCCATGGTTCGGACAAAAACCTGGCATCGGCGCTGGGATGCGTGGAAGCACCCGATGATCGAGGCAACGGTCATGGGCCCAGCGGAGGGCATGGCTTCATCGGCAGGTGCCTACTGGGTGATGACGGTGGACGGGCATGGGTTTCGAACAACAGTACCACCGCGCAGCAACCATCGGGGGGGGAGTTCAGGCCGTGAACAATGGCTGCCCTGGTGATGCACCGGTGAAGGCTCATCGTCCTGAGCGCGATGGTGAAGATGCAGCGGAACTGCTGCATTTAGAGAACCCGCACTCCATTGCGAACCAGTTGAAAGAAGCTGCGGAATTTTGGGAGGTGTTTGACACCACATGGCTGCGAGGACCTTGGCGATGGAGAAGATGATGCCCAGGCTGACGACTTTGAGACTCGCAACGGCCAAGTGCTTGAAAGTCACTCCAGAGGTGATGGCCCATGATGGCCCCCAAACCTGCACCGGATTGGTAAATTGATTCACACTTTGGATGGTTTCAGGGGTCAAGGCTAGGGATATGATACAAGATACATGCTTTACCGGAGCGTTCTGGACGGTATTTTTTCCTCATGGATGGCGTGAGTTCACCAGCTGCTTGGTCTTCGCAAGATGATGGTCATCAGAGCTCGGGCGGCGTTCTTTGATCCACGTGTTTTGAATTTCACAATGAGTTCAGCAGCGGGACCCCACGAGGATTGCAGGGAGGTGTAGTCCGTCTGCCCCTGTGACCCACACGTTCCGACCGCGTTTCTCCCCAAACGGCCAAGGCCCTGCTGTCCTTTGCAGGACTCCAATGAGGCGAGGATGGGTGATCGGTGAAAGAAAGCGGACCCGGCATGGGGCATTTTCCAGGGAAACAGCTTGGGAGTCAGTCTAAGCTTTGGCCTTTGGGGATTGTTCCAAAATGCACCAGCAGTGGACGCACGCCCCAAAAACGTGACATGGTTTGAACAATTCCTGAGCTGTTCGCTTTGCCCTTGGCCCAGGCCAAGGTTATGTATGTGCATGGGCTTCCCACCCACTCCCTATTGGCAGCTGAGCAAAAGAGGCATCTCTTCCGAAATTTCATAGGATCTAAAGCTCAAGTTTCGTCTCGTCCTCGTTTTTCACCAAAAGCTCGTCTCGTCCTCGTTTTTCACCTCTACATACCGCACCAGTCGTACCGCCCTCCAACAACCAGACCGTATACCATCTCCCCCCGTCACCACAGTTGGGTTTACCTCCATGCCGCGTGAGCGCGCCGCGGCGTTGAGCGCAGGACTGGGATTTGCCACCCGCCGTGGACAAGGTCGCCAGACGCTTTGAGGCACCGGACGGTGGAGAAGGGGGCCGTTTTTGGGGGAGGTTCTTGAAGGATTTGGAGCAACCATTAATGTATACATATTATATCATATGATAGTAATATATATATATATATTATGATGGATATTATTATAGATATTAACTCTGGTTTGAAGATACCAACTATTTTCGACCTGGGGCATCTCCCTTCCAGTCCGAGGCCCGGTGGAATCGCTCTCAGCGACCACACCCAGGAGGGACGTAGGATCAGCTGCAAAAGGGGAGTTTGGGAGCGGTGGCACCCCGTCTTTTCACAAGCTCACCTGTTCTTAAGAACAGGTAGAGTTCGTTCGGTGAACCTGGTATTTTCCAGGGCAACAGCAGCTCAAGGGAGTCCGTGTCCTTCTCTCCTCATTCCGGTGGAAAGGGGCGAACCGCATCCCTGCAGCGAGTGAGTTCGGCATCACCTGATCCGCGAGTGCGGTTCATCATCACAGTGTGTGGTACAGAACCAAATAGGTCTACTATGGTGCTCAGTGTGAGCACGAAATGGTTCATCATCACAGTGAGATAGTCAGACTTCCGACAACAGATAGCGGTTTATCAGATCCCGGGAGCAGACTTCCAACGACCTGGTCCCATGCAGAGTTCAAGGGGTCCAGACGGTCGATCTGCGCAGCTGCGCTGGGGAGCTCCCTCTCTGGTACGACTGGTGGCCCGTGTGGTTCCAATGCCTTGGTTCCTCTCAGACGATCAAGGCATAGACATGTATACAAGTCCGAGAGTGTTATTAATATATATATATATAGTGGTGACTGGGATCCTTTGGGTATAGGTATATGTCAAGTGTTCGGGTGACACTCAGGATCAGCAGGACTTGAATTTTACGGAGAATGGTTAAACATACGCATACATTTACGGTACAGGCAAAGCAAGCAAAACCAGAATGAATCATTGAAACTCTCCTAACAGCCCTTTGTCATGTCGTACAGCGATTTCGATCATGTCTGGACCAAATTTGTGAAGGGGGATTCTGATGAAAGGATACCTGGACCCTTGAAGGGGTATCCAAAAAAGGATCCAGTATGGCAGTATGTGATGCTACATGATCCTTCTATAGTTACATCTAACTAGTGTAGGATGGTCCATTTTTCGTCTTTTTTCCCGGTCGCTTCGTCTCTTCGCCTCGCCAACCAGCAGCGCTTCTCCGTCCCTGGACTCCAACCCATTTCACCAGACCTGGTCGACCCCAGTCCCACGACGAGGACGCATCGTTCCGGACCCGGTCGGTCTTAAACCAAAGAAGCGGCATTGGCTGGTCGATCTCCTTTTGGGAGTCTGTTTTGGTCACTCCGGTCTTTCTCGGTCTGAAGCGGGAAAGAAGCGACACACTGAAGTCACCTCGAAGCGGAGGTTTTTGGGAATTCCCTACAGGTCTTGTTTGACCCAGGTCCAAACCTGAGTCTGAAAACCTCCAGGTTACTAGTGGTTGTTGATATTTTCTCCTGGCGCCATGTTCCCCGAACCTCTCGCCGCGAACCTCTCGCCCTGGCCGCGGTTGATCCCAGTCGCCACTGGCCGCCGACTTCGTTTGACACAGGTGACCCTGGAAGTCCTGGATCACCCTGGGCCCGTTGGGTCAACCTGAGGGACCTGAGGCGAACGGCCCTCGGGCCGGGAACGGTCGAAGCTGGGTGTGGAGGGTTATGGTGGTAGGGCTGAGTCGTGTTCCGGGCTGGGCTCTCAGGGGATTTGGGAAGATGGCGGATGGGGGATGGGTTTGGGGGCTCCGGTGCTTGAACATTTGGAGGAAGAACGAGTCTTTGGGCATGCTGCAAGAGTTCGAGCATCTACCATGGTTTCGTTGTGATATTCCCCGTGGAGTCATGGAGAAAAGCATTACAAGTTCCAAGTTCAAAAGAACACCAAAGCATGTAGGCCACTGTTAGCCCAACAGCATTCCGTCATGGCCATCAGAACATGACTACATGTCCTAGCATGTTGGCCACCGTAGAGCTCCATGATCGACCTGCCTGGAACTTGCCAGAGGTGGTCGACCAGGCCAGGAATGGTGAACTGCAGGTTGACTGTGCCCTAGGGCTCTTGGCCGGTCAGTCGACCTTCTTAGGATCTGGAGATATCTGGAGCCCTAAATAGGTAAGTCATGTAGCCCAAGATGAAGTGTTTGGGGTGTTGCCCAAGCCGCGCCGATGCCGGAGAGGCACCTGGTCGTTCGGCCGAGAGAAGCACGGCTGAGTTTCGACGATGTGCGGTTTGCGCTCAGAGCATGGCTTGCAATCTCTGCAAACCCAGAGCATGGCTGGCAATCTCTGGAGATTTGCTATGCAACGCTGCTTGGAAGTTGTTGATGAGGTGATTCTCCATGTGTTCCTTCAACCTGTCCCAGGTTTGCACCATGCGAACCTCTCATGTAGACGATCACAACGTGCACCACAAGCCTACAGCCTACATCATCAGTTCACCACAAGACCAGGCGACCCTAAAGGTCCAAGAACTCGACTACCGAGAGTCACATGGAGTTGGGTGTTTTTTCGTCCCATCCAGGGGCTCTGGAGTAGCTGGGCATCCGTCTCCATGGATCGCACCCTACTGCATGGGTCTTACCACAGCTTCAGAGCTCAAAGGCGAAGACGATCTTCCAGCAGTTCCGTGGGGGTTTTAGGGTGCTATCCATGGAGGGTGCGGGTGCTTTCCATCCACTCACTGGATGGTACTACCCCTAGTACCACCCCGTCATGTGACTGGTTGGTGTATCTCATTGACCCGTTTTTCTCACGGGTGAATCTCCCATCGGCCTGCGCCATCAGCATTTGCTGGATTTCTCGTGGACCCAGTCGTCACCCTTGTCCAAACCAGGTGCCAGAGACCCAGAGACCCTCCCTGCCACAAACATGGAAGTGGAAAACTGCAAGTTCCAGGGGTCTATTTGCCACTTCCATGATCGTTAGCTGCTAGAGCGCCCCATGAACATGGACCCCCTCACTGGGTTGGAGGATGGTTCCTGGTGAGTGATAGGCCCACTTCGAAGCGATTGAAATCCGAGTTAGGCATAGTAATGACAACTAGGTTTTTTTTGATGGGCTTCTTGTACATATGTTATCATCCACCATCCAACTGCTTGAGCTGAAGAGTTATCAAGATGGCCAGCCATGATTCGGTGCCAAGATCTCAGGCTCCAAAGTGAGAATCACTCGAGGTCGTGTCTAGTGACATTAGTTGCAGTATGTTGAGATGCTGCAGCCGCACGGTGTTGTTTGAAACAGCAGAGAGAGAGAGAGATAGGTTGCGCTCAGCAGCAAAAAATCAACAAATACCCTACCAGCACCCTCCAACAGGCTGTTAGTTGAGGGTTGTTGGACCCTGTCTCAGGTCTCAATTGGTGACCTGTCGGAGGGTCCTGGTATAGGTCAAAGATTGATCATAAGAGGACCAGGTTGAGACCTGGGTTAGACCGGACCTGTAGGGTTTGAGCTGCTAACGTTGCAGGTTGCGCCACCACAAACTCTCCTCAAACATATCAAGTCCATGCTTGAGGTCTGTTTGAGGGTTTACTTCCTGAAATATCGGGTGTGGCTTAAGGTCTTGCGTATGGTCCCTTGTATGAG